ATATAATAATTTCTATAAAACTCTACCACATATTATCTATTTTATTTTATTTAAAACTCTATCACATATAACTTGTTTTTATTTATTTATTGTGAGTTTTTTTATGAAGGAAATCTAATTAGACAACGATATATTTAAAGAAACTAAAATATTTTTTTAAAAGAGTTTATATAAAATTCTATTAAAAATTGCCTATTTATGTATTTATTATGAATTTTTTAATAAAATATAATATAACTAGACAAGAATTATTAATAATTGGTATAAAAAATTACAAATGAAACCCCGCTGAGTTCAAATCATTTCAATACCCCAAATTTATTTTTATTAAAAAATGAGTAAGCCTTTTATCATAATTAAAACTGAATCAATCTTTCAAAAGTCCTCATATCTTCAACTCCAATGCCATTTTGGGAACCATGTTATCAAAGTATAATAAAACAATTTCTATAACTCTATCACATTAGATAAGGATATATTTATAAAATATATAATAATATAATAATACATATAAATAAAATATAAATGTTAAAGAATTTGAACATTTCAGTATTTATTTTTTAATATAAAAAATATTTATTAATTAATACAAAAAGAGAACTCTATCACATATAAGTATATAACCCTTGTATTTATCTATTTTTTATGAGTTTTTTAATAAAAGAAAATCTAATTTTACAAAGATATATCTAAATAAAATAAAATAATATCTATAAAATTCTACCACAAATTACATATTTAAAGAAAATAAAATATAACCTAGGGTCTTCCAAAAACTATAAACTCCATATAATAAATTTTTATATCAATTTCAATCTAATGTATAATTAGTATAATTGAATTTCTATTTTAAAATTTAATTAAAAATTAATATAATTGAATTTCTATTGTAAATTAAAAATTATACTAAATTTAAAATTATCTAATAAAATTCAAATTACAAATTACCTAATAAAATTCAAATTACCTAAAAAAATTTGTTACTTTGCAAAACTCAAATATTTCACTATTAAAATAAAAAAATATTATTTAATAAAAAATAAAATATACATATTTCAGTATTAATATAAAAACATAAAAGAATTTATTAATTTACGAAACTTAAACTCTATCACCAATTTTAAAATATTTCGGTATTTATTTATTAATATAAAATAAATTTTTATTAATCAATATGAAGACAAAAATTTTATAAGTTACAAAATATTCACCACGTGCATCGCACGTACCTTTTCCTAGTATATATATATATATATATATCTTAAGAATTTTCTACAAAAGTGTAGAGTGCTTTGTGAATTATTAATTTAATTGAATTTGTCTATCTATGATGAAATTGTAAAACTGGGACAGAAGTTATTGCTACGGTTGTTATGTCTCTGATATGAACATAGTTGCTAATGCGAAGAATAGAGTGGTAGACTCTGGGACTACCAATCACATAGATGAATAACACGTGTGTGATTATATGCTTATGTGTGGACGACATGCTGGGAACTAATATTCAGATAGTCAATGATAGTCAATGAGACTAAAATATTTTTGGCCTCTCACTTTGATATGAAAGATTTGAAAAAGCAGATGCAATAAGCATAAATGCAGGCATATGGCATATGGGTTAATGAGCATAATGTGAAAATAATATATATGTTTTGAATGTTCTTGAAATTATGAATGAAAATGGGTATTTTAATCAGGAGCTATTTGTTTTGAATGTTCTTGAGATCATGAATGAAAATGTTTCTAATTCTGCTTACTTGATTGATTCTTTTGACACGTGGCTTGGTAGACTAGGTCATGTGAATTTTTCTTATATTAAGAAAATGAAAGATATAGATTTTTTTGACACTTTTGGTCCTATAACTAGAATTTCTTCTATTAGAGTTTTGGTTGCTCTAATTGCCATTAATAATCTTATTATCCACCAAATGGATGTTAAAACTGCATTTTTAAATGGTGAGTTAAAAGAAGAAATTTATATGAATCAACCGGAAGCTTATATAGTTTCAGATAATAAACGTAAAGTGTGTAAATTGGTTAAGTCACTATATGGCCTAAAACAAGCTCTCAAACAGTGACATGATAAATTTGATAACTTGTTATTATCAAATGGTTTTTTTGATTAATGAGGCAAATAAATGTATATATTGTAAATCTATGAATAACACGTGTGTGATTATATGTTTATATGTGGATGGCACGTTTATTATGGGAACTAATATTGGGATTGTCAATCAATGAGACTAAAATGTTTTGGCCTCTCACTTTGAGACGAAATATATGGGAGAAGCAGGTATAATTCTATGAATAAAAATAACTAGAACATGTGATGGTATCATGCTCTCTCAAGAGCACTGTGTTGAAAAGATACTAAAAAATTTGGTCACTTTAATTATAAATCTGTTTCCACACCTTATGATGCTAATTCTCAATTAAGAAAAAATAAAGAACATGGTGTATCATAATTCGAGTATGCTCAAATTATTGGTAACTTGATATGTTTAATGAACTATTCTTAACCTGATATTGCATATGCAGTTTATTCTAAAGATCTATATTTTTTCGATTAATTATATTTGTGGATAGTTACGGCATGGAAGCATGTTAGCCTTTGATCTTAGTACAAAATATGGCAGTAGAATTGCAAAATTTCTTTTCTTGTTGACAACATCTAGTAGTTGGGTGTATCTTATGGATGACTAGATCATTCAGATGAAGGGAAGGAAGATATGGGCGTGGAGTTTTGGGTTTGACTATATATATATTTTTAATTTGTATGTCTCTATTGTTCCTTTTAATTTATTCATGCAGAGTAGATTACTCAGAAAAAATTGACTGGTTTTTAATTCTCAAGACGTGCAATTTAGTAAAATGGGACGTGTTCAGTTTTATTAAACCGTTTCGGTTGTAACATCATTATATCTTTGGTACCATAGTATAATATGACCATTATGTTATCCTCTCAAAAATAGAAATGCGCATGGTAGTTTATGTGTATAATAGTTACAACCACTTGGACTTGGGCACGCATGATAACTCATGCGTAAAAGGTCGAACTTAATGTTCGGGCAAAGTTGGGTATTTAGTTATCGTTAGGCTTGGGTTAATGTGTCCAGCAACCCAAACATGATTCTAATTTTCTTATTTAGATTTCAAATCCTGATGACAATTTTCTTTTCAACATCCTTTTGTTTATATATTAATTTATACTACATTGGAATACTAATTTCCCAATAAAATTGTTCATATTTTTTTTAGAAAGTTACATTAAGTTTTAAAAACTCAATTGTTGTGATAAATCAATCCAATTTTATTACATTAGATCTAGAATGCAAAAGCACTAAAACAATTTTGCTAAAACATGTTAGTTGAAAAAAGTCTTTTTACATTTTATTTAATAATTATTATTTTTGGGTACCGTTCCTGTTATGGTGTATGTGTGACTGTTTTACTGTTCAAAAACATTAAGCACTTGGCATTTCATTTTGGACTTTTTTGGACAACAAATAAATTATTATTCAAATGACAATAATGAATGGATTAAATATGTTTTGCTTCCTATTTTATACCACTTAAGAGTACTAATATTTAACACGACATGAATACAGTCGTAATTATTGGCCAAGCAACGCCCGCAATCAAATACAACTTTAATGGTATTTCACTAAAAGTGTAAGGTGATGGCTAATGGGAATTTACCCAAGTGATACAAGCACAAGGGATATTACATGGCACCACGTCAGTGTGAAAAATATAAACAGCTTGTCAAACAGACCACAACTTTAATAGTATTTCACTAATAATGTAAGGTGACAGCTAATGGGAATTTACCCACGTAATACAAGCACATGAGATATTGCATGGCACCACCTCCGTGGTGGTGCCTCCTTGAAAACTGTGATAACCAACCCTTGTTTTATCTCTCTATATATTATTTCACTGAGATGTTTTGATTTTTAGAGGGTTGCAGATAATTATGAAAGAAATTCAGAACTGAAATTTGAGAAAGAGAAAATGAATAGAATTTTATAGAGAGAAGTGAAGCAATAGAAAATAAAGGATAAATATTAAGAATATACTTGTCATTTGTTAATAATTATTTTTTAAAACTGTTTAAGTATATGAGGTGGTCAAAAATACATCAAATTATATATTCATTCGGGATTAATTCTTCGATTCCCTATTATTATTCATTTCAAATTGGATTAGTGATATAAATTGAAGATCCGGTCCTCATGGTGAGGATGATGAGTCACATGCATGCACAGTAATCCTAATGACAGCACTTTTATTTTAAAGTGAAACGCTTCACTCATTTTCAAGATATTTTTAGATAGTTTTAGATCATTTGATATTAATTTAGACTGATTAAATGGAAATTAACCTTGATATTTCCTTATTAAGGGGTTATCTTCTTAAGTTTGAATTGAACTGGTCAGTGTCAATGGTCTATGACCATTTAATAATTTTTCAATTTTTAAATTATTTGTCCAGTTAAGAAAATAAAAAATACAAGTAAAGTTTAAATTGTCAAGAGAAATTATTCCACAACTCGTTACTCAGTCAGATTTTTGAGCAGGGAATTTATTTTTGATAGGTGAGCGACCATGTTACCTAGTCAATAACCTTGAGTTCAAATCTTATCATCCATCGTCCATTAAAAATAATACCAAAGTTGTTGTTGTTTATTATTATTATTATTTTTTTTTTTCCTGAGGGTAAAGCAAGTTTTTAACAGCAGTTCATAATCAACAGCGTAACAACTAAATATTACAGTATATGATACGGGCCACCACAACCATCAGCCATCAATATCAAGCAAGTGTTCACACACTAATATTTAGTAATATTGTTGAATTAAAGCATGATTTAATGATAGAATAGTGTAGAGGATTCGGTCCTGGCAACTCCATCTTTTGCATGCATCATGTCACGGGACTGACACATTTATTCACATATTTCCTATTCGACACCCTCCGAATGCTCCTACAAGATGCTCATTCATGGAAAGCTTATATCAAGCTTATCAAATAAATTTGAAACGCACGCACACTCAAAAGGTCGATAAGAATTGTGTTGCAAAGCCATGTGGACGTGGACATGGACATTTAAGTGTATCATAGCCCATGAAAAAATAATTCCATGTGGTGGGCCATATTTTAGAATCCAAAAACTTAAAGAGGGCAACAGACCCATCAGCCCACTCAAATCTTTCACTCTATATTTGAGTTTGGCCGTGACAATGTGTCACACTCCAACAAGAGGAGGACAATTTTTTTCAATTTTATTTATAAATTAAGATGGGTTGGTATCATTGAAAGAAGAGTCTTTCCATATCTGACTGCCAAGAGGGGAAAAAAAATGCTAAAAAGAAACGGAGACTAAAATTTGAAGATGGCAGCACCACTTGAAGGCTTGGAAGCAAAAACATAGAGGCCAAGATCATTCTTATTGATCACTCCTTTGTCCATTCTTGAATGATAAAATTGACCCTGACACAAACACGAAACATGATGGTAACAATATGTGAATAGCAATTTTTTACCAATGATGAAAATCTTATCTGTGAATAGCAAGTTTTTGTCAAGGATGAAAATCGAAAACTAACCTTCAAATTCAGAATGAACTGTGGGACAATACTCTCTTTCACTAAAGCGACTGCACAACCACCCCATCCAGCTCCTGTAAGTCTTGCCCCGACAGCACCGTTATCTCGACAAATCTTTACAAGTTCTTCCAATTCCGGACAGCTAATTAGAGTAATAGCAGAAAGATATCAGTATATGTGAGGAGTAAATGCATAGCTTATGCACTCTGCAGATCTTGTATCACAAAACAAAAACTAACAGTCTTTTATGTGATTTTGAAGTGATGGTGAAGAGATGCTTAATAGGGATATAATGATATACACAGACCAACATACACAGGAGGATATCTTGCAGAACGGTCAACTTGTCCAGTAACAAAAAAAAATTATGCACAAATCTCTAAGAAATAGCATGTGATGCATGTTCTCAAGAATAGCCGAGCTGCTAAACGCGCAAAAGAATCACATTCTCTCACCACATGTTGAAGATGTTGTGTACACATTCCTAGTGTCATTATTATCTTTACCATAGTCACACTTTCTTGTCATCACGTCAAAATCACATAAAAGACTGTTAGTTTATGTGAGCTCAGTTTTGGGACTGAACACATACCTGCACTCATATAGAACACTGCAGCTATAGTGGCTCTCATTCATAAGGTCACCAAGCTTCTTCAGCATGTCCCCCTCACTGCAAAAACAACTCAAAAGCAGGAGTATCCAGAATAAATTAATTAATTAATAATTGAAATAATTCCAAATTTCTCATTTGCTTTTTCTAAAACCTTTATATGAATAAAGAATTGGGTTTTGGTTATCAAAATCAAAAAGTTACATATTAGGCCGCCAGACCAAACTCTAGAATGTTCATTTAATTCTTAAGCTTTTTCAAGCAAACCAGATAGACCAATTTGGACACTGAACATGAAGCAAAATAACTGTGGAACTGAATGGCAGAGACAAAAAATATTGCATTTTTTGGAATTAGGATGTGCCAACACACAGTCGCTGTTTGATTCAGCAGTACAATGCTTAAGCATCAGTACTGCTGGCTCAAGTTCAAGCCTCATAGCAGCCACTTTCTAAAATAGCAAATACCCAGAATACTACCATGGCAAAACATGAAGAAGAATGCAAAAATTGAAGCCTAAAAAATTCAAAAAACAGTAGTAACAATAATACAAAGTTACAACGATGATCAACTTTGTTGAGAACCTTTTTTCTATTTAATATTTTTAAACAGTCATTCAAGTTCCGCAGGAAATATATCAATTTAATCCGGAAGAAAGAGAGTTGAATCACCAATTTTAAGATACACCGTGAACTTCCCAAGCATTAAGCTTTAAATTCATCAGATTATTGCTTAGAAGGGATTGTCTCACAAGGAAAAATTCACTGAAAATGCATAAACACTGATAACAGAAATGAAACGTTGGAAGTCTATGATACCAAACAAAACTCACCTTAAATTTGATGATACAGTATCCTTGAAAGTATGCACGCGCTTGGCTTCAGAATACACATGGGAAGCTCTCTGGATAAGAAATATTAGACCAAAATTCAGAGTAAGCTTTGAAAAAGAGAAAAGTGTCATCAGTGGTATCTAAAAGCAAACTAAATGATTGGAGAAACAAGTAACAACAAAGTTGATAATATATTTCTAACAGGAGATATCCCACTGATTAACAAATATTTTTTGTTTTCTTATGTGAATACTTGGGGGGGGGGAAATCAATGTTTAACCTAACAAGACATATCCACACTGATAAACAATAATTTTATGCTCTCTACAACAAAGCATCTAGATCCATTACATTCCCAGCCTGGCATAGACACAGAATCTAAAAACCTTCCATCCAGCTACTCTGGACTAACTCTTAACTGTCTGAAAAGGCTAATTAATGGCTAAGCAAGACAAAATTCATATTTGGAAAATTCCAGCTATTCTTTCATGTGTTACTTAAATACAAACTGTTAAAGCCAATGAATGGCTATTTATTGTTGTTCACATCCTTTCTTATGTGATAATTGGGGGAAAATCCAATGGTTTAACCTAAAATTACCACAAAATTACAGGAAATTTTTCAGATAACAGACGAACAAAAAACACATGAAAATACAGCATCAGGAGATTCCGGAACTGTAGTAGTAGAGTAAAAGTTTGATCCCAAAAATACAACCAGAAAACAATGTGAAATACTAGCTCCCAAAAACAAACAAATCAAATCCAGAGGCAAACATTTTAACATACAACCACCATTTTTAAACAAACTTAAGGTTTTAGCTTAGTTAACAAAACCAGACAATGAGCAAAACACAAGTAATGTCTAAAACTTTAAATTGTGATATCATCATGAATATGGCTAAAAGCAGTTCTTGCCAAGCTATAAAACCTACCTGGAATAACTTATAGTTCTTGGCAACTTTCAGCACATCCAGAGAAGTTGGAGAATTGGCAAAGATTGATTGTAGGTTGTCCTCCGTGATTTTCTCAATGTCTTCAGCTGTATATGGTTCTTCCTTCAAAAGTTCCTGGAGCAGTGAAAGAAACCATCAGAACCTGATGCGGATGAGTGGATAGGAAATATCATGTTTATCTGACAACGATCATGAATCTCAGTAATTAGGTAAAACCCAAAAAACGCCTGTGGAATGGGGTGTTATATAAGGAGAGGTGTAATACAGATAGAAATCCAAAAGGAAAAGGAAAAGGAAAAGAGAAAGATGTACTTGATGTAGACAATAAAAATTCAAGATACCTTGACAGCAAGGACAGGATCAGAAGAACCATGATTACCGGCAAATGATACACACAACCCTTCTACATCAGAAAGAGTTTTCACTTTGGATACTGCCTCTTGAGGTTTCATTCCAAGCTTTATACCGAGTACAATCTGCAAACCACTAGTTCAATTATGCGTACAAAATAAATTTTACGGTAGAAAATTAAAAGCAATTGTGAGTTCTTCGTACAGAGAACATGATCAAACACATAATAATAGGTATCACTATCTTACCCAAAAACAAGTATCATTATTCGAATGCAAAAACAGTACTATCATCATCTTAGAAAAGGATTTATGGAATCGAAGATGCTTAAGAATTTGACCTTGATAGATGGCCACAATTAGGTTCTTGTGAAATGGCTATAGAAGGTATAGGGTCAATAAGTGACCTTAATCTACAAACTAATAATTTATATCATAACTTTTACCAGGTAAGTAAAAAATGTAGCTTTTAGACTTTTAAGTTGAAATGCCAAAGGTCACCTCAAGCACTTGAGCTCCGTTAATTTTCTTGAAATGTGAGTATGCATTTTTTTAAAGTCTCAAGATGAAACCAGAAGACTCAACACGGAAATTTGAGGACCATATAGGAATAATATACTGCAAATATGTTTAGATCACAAAGTAAACACAAAGCTTCTACATAATTAAAGTAACTTGTTGAAAATAGAATTAAAATAAACTTACAGCAGCTAACCGGCATTCAACAACCCGATTATTGTAATTTGTGGCTGCAGTGACTGCTTTCTGGGATTCAGCCAACGAATGGGCTATCACAAAAGATCCACCACCAGGAAGCTGAACATCAGTAGCACGAATAGGGTTGAAATCAATCAGCTCGGCAAACCCATTTTGGGCCATGACAGAGATTGCCTGTCACGAGAAACAAGAAATGTACAGATAGGTCATGGCCACTAATCTGACCAAAAAGAAAATAAGTGTTAATTCATATGACGAGCATGACAACACACAATTTTCCGGGAGGGTTACAATAAGAAAATACAATTCCATTATAAGTTGGAATATAGAAATTATTCGTCGTTTTGATAAGAGCTGGCAGTAGGTTTTAACAATGTCCTCTTGGAATAGTCCAGGCTGATGAGACAGAAAGATGTAATGAGATCATATTAGCAAGATAAGTATAACCTGATCCATTCCACCAGATTGTGTCCCAATGTGTCGTTCACATTCACACGTAAGTTGGGCAATTTCTTTCTGTAAAATAAAGAATAAAACTAGAATCAGAATACGAAAAATAAATTATAACATTTCTACCAGTGTGTTGGTAGGATATTATCTTTCCCTGCTAATTTAAAGGTAATATTGATTTAAAGCACAAATGTAACATAGCATAAATAATATTATAAGCAAAGAAGTCAATTCTCATGTCAATGTCAGATACTTAACAAGCCTTAAGCACATTAGTGACGAAATTGTCAGAAAAGTAATTGACTCAACATGGTATGAGCTGGAACCAACATAAAGAAAGTGGAAGTACTAGATATTGCCAAAAAAAATTTGACGAAACACCTCACATGGATTTTTTTCAGCTATTTCAAATTAGTCCCTCGAATCTCTCCCTAGACACACTGACTAGAAGACCAAAATATCACACACAAGTAAATAGGAAATATAAATGTAACAAAATCACCATTATTTCATGTAAACAAATAGTTCTTGATCTTTTTTTATCTAAAATAACAAAAGTATACCAAAGAAAAACAAATTCCTTGTACTGATGTTTCAGCAAATGCATGCTACATGATGTTCTTATAAAATGTGCTTGGTCCGATTTGCATCTGAAGTCAAATATTCTCATTAAGATGCCACAACAACCAAATAAAGCACTTTAAAAACGGTAGGGATACCTTTGGGAAGTTCACATCAAAAGCAGCCATTATAGCAATTGTAGAAGAGCAAACAAATGCTGCGGAGCTCGACAGTCCAGACCCTAAATGGAAAAGAGGTTTCTCAGATCATTAACTTTGTTTTACATAACTTATGCAGTTCTGAGATTACTGATGGTTAAACAAACAGTCGTGACAATGAAATACTACTTGAGAAGGGAGAAAGTAGACCTGTAGGAACTGTTCCATCAACAATGACGTCAAGTCCAACTGGTAGACCTACGTCGAGCCCTTTTGATTTAGCATACTCATGGTAACCTTTATACCTGCAGGATATGAACCAAAAGTTTATGCAATAGCAGAAATTATGCGCCTTTATATAAACATTTCAAATAAAATCCTTTTGTGAGGTGGTTGTAAAGGGATGGGACAACAAATGTAATTCAACAAACATGCATGCACCGATGCACATATACATTGTGAACTTCAGAAACTATGAATAAAGGTTTAACTTCAACTTGTACCAGTAGTAAATAATTTAACACCAATCAGCTGTCTAATAGGAAATTGGTTAAACCCATATTTGAATCACTTTCCTTAGATGTTAACTCAACCTTCTTTCCCCTAATATTGTACAACAATTTTTTAGAGCTGAGATAAAGTGTGAAACAAATCAATGGGAAAATGAATCATTCTGAGGTATTTCAGAATGAGACAGGCAATGTTAACATTTTCTTAATGCATTTTTGGTTTGTTGCAAAATAATGTTGTTTCAAGATTATTAATTTAGCAAAACAACATTGTTCGAATGATGCAATCAAGAAACTACTAGAAGCAGATGTCTCACATTACAACTCAATTTAAAAAGGAGGAACCTAAGTTGCTAAAAAAGAAGCCTCACTTCTTTACATTCTGCACAATTGTCTAAAGTCTACGTAAGCGTGTTGGATAAATGCATGTGCGACAAGTTAGGTGCACTTAAAATTAATTTCATATTATGTGACCCCCACAACTGTTCCACCCACCTCATGCTATCCCTTGTTCTGTCCTAGTTTGGGTCCATGATAACTTAAGATGAGGGACTCTCTTTAGGGGCAAGTTTGTCTATAGAGTGTCCAATTATATCCTATCCCGATACCATTCCTAAACATGGCTAGTTAGGGTTAACATAGCCATGCTCAATATCACTCAACCTTGAGTTGTTCGTTATAAGCAAAGGACTACATAAAAAAAAATAAACAATCAAAATGTCACTACTCATTACCATCAAAGCTGAGGCAATACTACAAAGAAAAATAGCCAAGAGTATGACATGATGTCTCACCCACAAATGAAATAATGACCCCATCTGTGATTTTTTAAGTCAACATCCTGCATGATAAAATAAGGTCAATCACTTTGACAGAATACGAAATAAATTATTAAAAAAAATAAGACTACTACTGAAAGGAAATTATAAACAACACATTAGCAGTAAATCAAATAAATCCCAGATGTATAAAAATCACATCAATTATGCTAATCCAAGTTTGTAGCATTAGCATAACATGCAATCTTTAATTTCCTTGATAGGTTTAGCCTATTTGATCTCCATTTTTGTTTATCTAATCTATCAGTGTCAATTAAAATTTCCTTTGGAAAGTTCATGCACAAGTTGCTTCCATTTCTTCTAAAAGAATATCTCAGGACAATCTCATTGATGCCTCACAAAAATCCATTAAAAACACAATTGTAAACTTTCACTAGCTAAATTCTTCATAACATATAATATAACAAAATCATTGTATCATACCTACCACACCAGTTTCTTACCTCCAATACTATATAATTATCTTACTTATCAAAAATAAATAAATTACTATATGGACCAATCAAACAAATGGAAGTGAACCCAACAATTACAGGACATGCTCAGCCAAAAGACAAATCCAAAATTGCATCAATTAGGCCAATCCAACAAACTTGAAGATCAGATAGAAGTATGCAGAACAACACTAAGCATTAACACATACTCACATATAGTGATTAAGGAAAAAAAATAAAAAATAAAAAAAATAAAAAAAAAAGGACCAAAAGAGAAAAAGAAAAAGAAAAAAGAGTTATCACCTGGTGGGGATCAGCAGGATAAGTACACATGGGGTACTTATCGCTAACATTTGCAATCCGGAGAAGCTTTTCGGACTCTCCAGCATCGTGTTTCCGGATCGCCACGATCGTGTCTTGCCTAATCGCCATCGGCAACACCGAGTACCCCTCATAGTCGATGTGATCTCCGATCAAATTCACTCGCCCTGCATCACACATATAGATTCATCAACAACCGTTCAAATCATCATCATCATATATATAGATATAGATATTAGAAGTTTATGTATGTGTGTGTGAATATTGAATGAGAATTGGAAGAAAGATAACCAGGAGATCGAGCGTAAACGTCAGGAGGATGGCCGAAGAGTTGGATGAACTTAGATTTCAAATTGTCGAATCGAAGTTGAGCTTCTTCGGGTCCCTCTCCGTACACTGGTTCCAGAGTGTTATAGATGGGAAGCGGAAGCTCCTCGTGTCTCGCCATTTGACTCGTTTGGACTGAAATCAATGATTTCTCTTGAAACACAATTATATCTCAATCAATTAAAGCTGCGCTCAAACGGTGCTTGGCTTTTCGCTTTTGGCCTTTTACGGGGAAGGAATGGTTGTTTAGATTGTGATTCCGGATAAAATATAATTAGATAATTAGATATATATTCTTTCCCAATCGGAATATATAGAAATCACTATTAATAAGAGTCCTAATTCTAGGGGCCACTTCCCTTGGCCACTTCTAGACTCAAGATATTATTTTTGTCGGTTCAAATGTTAATATTCTAATTCTTTTTGTGTGATCGACAAAGGTGGACGAGTAAAATGAATAATGACCACAAGTGGAGCGACAGTTATATTCACGAAAATGCTTTGCTCACACGTATTTCTATGCCATAAGAAGTTCTTATATGGAGTATTATGCTAGAAATTTTACAATTTTTCTGATAAATTGTATGTTTCTTTGATTCCATGCCATTACAATACTAGTTACTTCAGGGGAAAAACCAAAACATTTTTGTAATCACGGGGACGGAGCTAAAAAATTTGTTCAAGAAGGACACATTTTGTAATATTGTACACATAGTTTAATGTCCATATATATAACTTAATGTTTATAAGTATATATAGAGAGAGAGAGAGTGATATTTTTGAGATTAAACTAATTATAAATATAGAATATAAGGATTAAGTAAACTATTTAAGAGGAAAAAATATATATATGTGGAATATTATAAGGGAATGAGAAAATTAAGGGGAGCACTTTTTATATTTTTATGAAAAATATATATATATTATAATAAAAGTATATATAAAATATAAGAGGGGAGAAAATTCGGGAAGGAGACGTGCCCCCTCTGGGGCTTAACTCCCTCCGCCCCTGAGCACACTCATAATTTACAATCGGGACATTGTTGAATTAAATTTCTCAATTTTTTTTTTTTGGTAGAGGCAAAGATCATACCAATGGGTTAAAAATGTTTTGGCAAGTTATAAAATCATTATTATGGTCGATTGGTCAGAAAGAAATTTGGAGGGAAGAGGAATAGAATTGTGCTTAAGCAAAATTTAAGAAAATTATCCTTCAGTTCTATTATTGCATTCACCTTACTTAAAAGATAATCACATTTCACAATATATTATGCAAAGATAATCACATTTCAAAACTGAAATAATTATATTTATTCGGTTGACTCATCCATTCCAATTTCAACTTTTTTTTTTTTTTTTGGCAAAAATGTAAAAAACTTCCCAAAATCATGAATTAGTTGCAAGATACTCCTGAATTATTTTTTATACCAAGTCAGCCCCTAAACTATAGAAATATTGCATCTTCCCCCTTCAGGTCATTTTTGGGCAATCAAAGGAGCAAAATTACTTATATACTATTAAAATATATATTATATTTGTTTTCCTTTTTTTTTCTTTCCTTATATATATGAATAATATATTATATTATATTTAGTTTCCTTTCTTTGCTCCTTAATTTACTTCTTGATTTATTCCTTTTATTTTCCTTATTTCCTAGTTGATTTATTAATTTTGTCAACTTTATTTGCTCTTTATACATGGATGAATGTCTTGGTGCCGAACCGTGTATATAATACGTTCATCTTCCTATTTTACATATCATATTTCTGAATCATAAAGTTAACATGGTATCACACTACCCAAATGTCTCCCAATGTAGCTCCGTCCCATTTCTCAACTTTGTTCTGGTCCATTTCTCCGTTTATTTATTTATTTATTTTTTTTCATGAGTGAAATGAACCCTTAAAATCCCTCAACAACCCGACTAATTCCTGAAGACTCGGAAGAACACCCAGCAAGACTCGAACCCTAGACTCCACCACTGTTTTCAATATTTTATCCCCAAACTCAAGGTAGTTTCGAGAAACCCATCTTGAATTTGCGGGAGAATATTGAAATATATATAATATACATACATACATATTATATTCGTTTTCTTTTTCCTTCTTTCTTTATATATATATGTAAAATATTATATATATATATATATATATATATATATATATATATGTATGTATGTATGTATCTTGATTTCCTTATTGATTTATTCATTTTATTTCCCTTCTTTCCTCCTTGATTTATTTCTTTTGTTAACTTTATTTCTTATATATTGTGTATCAATATAATGCAAACACATCAAGTACTATAATCAATAAGAAAAATGTAAGTTTTTTATCCATGAATATAGGCCTTAATACCGAATCATGTATATACTGTGTTCATCTTCTTATTTTACATCCTATATTTTCGTATCCTAAAGTTAACATATATTTCCACTTATTACTTTAGTATAAAAGTTACTTATATATATATAATATCATAAGTGTAAAATATTGATAATATCTTCCAACTAGTTAACTTGGCATGTTATCTGAAAAACTACAAACTACTAATAAGTCATAGATCATCAACATCAAAATGCATACATGTATATCTTGCCTATATATAAATACAAAAGTATACGAATATATATACATATTGTATAAACACTTTTATTTTTTCTTGCATATATATAATATAGATATACAAATATATGAATATATATACATTGTACAAACACTTCTATAAAATAAAGATATTGACGTTGGAATTTTTTTAAGAAGTGAAGATTTGTGTAATTTGATTTTTATATAGTGTGTTTTTGAAAATCAAATTTGATAGCAAAAATATCGATAAATATTCCAAGGTATGTTTATTAATTGTTGCTAATCTTTTTGGTCCATCACAGAGTGAAATTGGGTTCAATCATGACGGCTGATGCTAGAGAGATTCAAGAACAACCACAATAGCACAATCCCTTCTCTCCGCCAAAATGTTTATTTCTGTAATACAACTAAATGAGACCTTTGTGGAGACTTTATTTTATTCTTTTGGTTTGTATTTTATGTCACTTGTGGTATGTCCGCCAAAATGTTTATTTCTGTAATACAACTAAATGAGACCTTTGTGGAGACTTTATTTTATTCTTTTGGTTTGTATTTTATGTCACTTGTGGTATGTTTGGTACAGTGGAAAAGAAAAGAAAAGAATAGAAAAGAAAGGAAAGGAGATGATAATGTCAATTACTTATTCTGTTTAGTTGATTAATAAAGGGGGAAAAAATAATAATAATAATTATTATATTTGGGAAAAAAGGGGGAAAAAATTAATGTAATGAATTTACAATCATGCCATTTTTTATAGAATTTTTCTCTTATAAATATAAGGGTTAAATTTAGTATTAACAAAATTTTAATAAAAATATTAACTTCCCTTCCCTTTCATTTCATTTCTTTCCTTTTTGAGGATAACAAAAGTTATGTTTATGCTTTAGTCTTTCCTTCCAAATCCCTCCATTCCCTCTCCTTTTCATTCAACATTTTATACCAAACACAACTTTTTGTTTTCTTCCATTTTCTTTCTTTTCTCTTCCCCCCATTTTCATTGTACCAAACTGAACCTTGGTGTTTCCATGTTTCCATTTTATTTGGGTTTAAATTTTGGTTGGCGCATCAATAAGAAAAGAAATCATCATAGTTAATAAAACGTAAGTGTTTTTTCTAATTCTGATTAAAATGTCATTTGTGCTTTAATTAAATTAAAAATAAGCAATGCTAAATTCGGTAAAATCCAATAGTAAAAAATGGGATCGTTAATGGTTCACAAGCACACTAATTATTATTTATTTATTTATTGGCTTTTGCCAAAAATCATTACAGCAGATTCTGGGCACCCTGAGCTAGGACAAATATTTTAATCTCAATCATAGAGCACTTACCTTCCCTATGTAAAAGTAAAACCACTGATGGACGGCATCATCAGAAGTCTGGACAGAAGTACGATATGCCTCCTCATTAATTATTACCTTTCACCTTCAGCCAGAAAAAGGTTAAATGGAAAATTCTCTATAACGAAATATTGAAGTTCAATACTTAGTTGAGTGATACAGTATCTCATAACTTTGGTCAAGTAAAAATTCAACATTACACGATAGCATAAAAGACTCTTATGAATATGCTGTCAGGATTATAATTTGGGATATGCTAGCATATCTCAATCTTAGATTGGAAGATTTATTGACTATCTGCAATTAATGACATTTCAAATTGTATAGCTTTCTGCTGCACATTCAGATAATGTTTCTGTATGAATGGTTCTGATAGAAGACGAAATAATTTTGAAGATCAAAGAGAAGCTGTTCATGTGTTGATTAGATTTGGCTTTTAGGCTAATAAGTTCCTAATCTTTTAGTTTGTTTTAATGTCTTTTTGCTGGGAGTGAAATGTATCCATTCCTATTTATGTATTGGAGTTTATCTCCTCGTGTAATTGTATTATTTTGGTTATATTTATAAAAACACCCCATTCAAGGAATTTTATTTTATATGTTGATGGAATATTTATTCTTAAATTCGGTTTTAATTCTCTTTCATGACCTTACAGTGAGTTATTGTGGACTTACTGTATGAACTTTTTTTATCTTTTAGTTTTTGACGATGGTTTTCTATCATAAGATACAATGAATTTTCTTGAATGCATGTAAATGAAAGTCTTCTTTCTTATAAATGAAAGTCTAACAAAAGTATTCACTAGTTATACTTGTCTGAGACTTGTAGTTTTTTTTTCTTTTTCCTTTCTTTGTTAAACAAAAACAAAAATGAAGTTCTAATTTTGAAGTCTCTTTGTGCAAATTGGTGATTAATTTGAGTATTATGATAGATGAGTTTCTTTTACATTTTTCCATATTCTATCTAAAAATGGTAGTTGAAAAGAGAAAATGGTGATTGTGTTAAAAAATAATATTTTGGATAAAATGTATAATTGGAGCAGAATTGCTAAAATATAATATTTTGACACTGTAGCACCTATCAAAATATAGATTTGACATGCAAAAATAGTTTTTAGCATTGAAGATGCTCTAAGGTGAGTGTGATTAGGATGCAATGCAAAAATAGTTTTTAGCATTGGAGATGCTCTAAGGTGAGTGTGATTAGGATGCAATTTGGGCCAATCAGTCAAAAAATATCAAATTAAAGTTGGGTTTGCGGAGGTTAAGTTGAGAATCTAAAGCAATCTCAATCTTACCTTTATTGTTATTATTATTGTCATCATTAAATTTTAATGAAACTAAACTCAACAAGACTAATTTGAGTCTAATTTTTTGCTTGTTAAAACTTAATATGTTCTCATCAATTGTGTGGTTTAAAACTTTAAATATGTGGCTGATAAAGAGTCAGGTCTTAACTGTGTCCCCCACTTTCAGGTCCTAGGTTTGAGTATCCTAACCTTACGAACTATACTCTAACCATTACCGGGTAAAAAAAAAAAAAAAAAAAATATTTTGTATGATTTATAATGGAGCCAATGGTTTTAAATTCAAGTTTGCTCACTTAAATATTTGTATAGTTTTAGGTTGAAGGGAATTTATTTGTTAGATTGTTTTTTATTATTATTATTTTTTTTTAAGTTTATTCGTCGGACAAAAAAACAAGAAGGGTCTAAACACAGTCGCGGGCGCCACTGTGGAATTTCTGTCACAATTTTAATTGTTGACGCGTGTATTTTTTTTTCCCGATAATAAATTACAATTTTTCTGCTAACTTCTTTTTGGGGCTCTCATTATGTATAATTACTATACTAGCCTTTTATCGTTAAAAAGAAACTGAGAAATTATTTGTGGAAATATTCTCTTCATTCCATCTCACTCTAAAATTTTCTTTTTTCAAAAGTCCAAGTCTAAATGTTTGAAGTTTAACTCTAAAATTTTCCTTTATTCTCTGATTTTTCAGATAAAAAAATATAAAAAAATCCAGTAAAAAAGAACTATAACCTGGTTCTCTTTCTAAATTTTTTTTTTTTGAAATTAAATGTTTGAAATTCATAAATGATTTTTTTAAATCCTTATTCTCTGTTGAGAAGTATTCAGTTGTTTTTCAGATAAAAAAAATTAGATGAAAAAAAAGTATAATCTGGTTTTGTTGCATTCGTCCTTTTCTCTCTCTAAAAACACAAGTTTTCAGCTTCGATTCTCTTCAAATTTGATTTTTTCAGATTCATAGTCTCTATATTCTATGTATATCTCTAGATGAAACTGTGAATGATTTCTGAATTTCTTTCTAAGGGTGAGAGACAAGTATAGCAATTATACATAATGAGAGCCCCAAAAGGAGTTAGAGATAAATAGTAATTAATTATCGGAAAAGAAAATATACGCGTCAACAGTTAAATTTGCGACTGAGATTCTACCATCACGCCGCGACTGTGTTTAACATCCCTCAAAAAACAATACAAAATTGTAACCTACTACACTTAATTGATTTATACTTTTGAATGGATGGAATTCATAAATTTACATTTTATTTCTTCTGGGGTTAAAATTTATTATTTTAACCCCCATTGAGATTTGGCATGCATATTAAATGATGCTACTAAAGTTTTCTTTCCAATAAACTTGTTTATTAAATTTTATAAAATAAAAATTTTATTATTCTTTTATATAAAGTGTAATGTAATATATTATTATAATATAAAAACATTACTCATTTTTTACCTTCAAAATTACTTTATGGCGATTTAAGGGAAGTCAAATAATGAATGTCAATGGGTTTCCTTACGTGCAATTTGCTCACACTCGGAAAGAGAGTCTAAATTTACCTTTTATGTTGCTATTGTTGCCAACTTGCCAGATTGAGACGTAAGGATTAGAAAGTACGACGAGTACAAAAGGAAGGGACAATTTTAGGACCAGAATGACGTCGTTTTTCATTACCATGATCTGCAGGTTGAATTGTACTGAGACCATGAGATTTTGGGTCAACGCCGCCACTCAGATGATTAATGAATTTTTTTATATCCACACCCATTGAAGTTTAAAAATACATGCATAGATACTTATTCATACCTTTAAAATGATATAAAATTATCAAACCGATCTTCTTAAAAATTATTACTTCCCATAAGTAACATGTAAATTGGGATGGAGGGAGTAAAAAAAAAAAGAGCTAGAGATTAGGGTAAAGAAAAAAGTTTAATGATGATAGTAGTTTCGTTAATTAATAAGATTGATATTTTATAAATTAATTAAATTAAATAATTAAGTACAAATATGACATTTGAAAACACATAAGAGTGCCATTATTAAAAAAGTCCTTGATTTGTATTTGATTGATATTGAACGAAACCTTAGGGTTATCAATGCAGTTTACTCTTACTTATATTATATGGTTAAAAAAAAATATTACTCTGTATATTAAAGTCAACTGTATTTTTACATCCATAGTACTATTGAAGACAGTAGTAGTCACATTCGCACGAGTTGAATCACTTTTCTTCCCGACGCTACGTCGTTCCCAGCTACCTTCACCCTTTTCTCTCTCCGCGATTTCACACTCATCTCAATCTCTCCGTGCTCTGTTTTTTAGGGTTAGGGTTTGGTGATTTTCGAAGATGGAAAGACACAGGGGAGAGCGATACGGCAACAACCAAGATTCACCCCACTACAGGAACTCCAGAGGCCCCCCTCGCTCCTCCGATGGCCCCATCAACCACCACCACCGCCGTAGCCCTAACAATTTCCGCGGTGGATTTTCCGGAGCCGGACATAATCACCGTCCTTTTGACAGCCCCCCTCGTTACCCTCCCAGCGGCGGCGGTGGAGGCGGAGGATTCCGCCCGACGATGGGCGGTGAAGGAGGAGGCGGTGGATTTGATTTCAATCACGAGATGCCTCTCTCCGGCCAGAAACGAGGGCATCCTTTCTCAGGCAGAGGAGGTTCTCCAGGTACGCCCTAAAATTCTTCAGAACCCCTATTTTCTGTCCCCTGTGCTTGTATGAGTTTAAGCAAATTTTTCAGTATTGAAAATTCACCTGGTTGACACATTGACACAAGTTTTGACACAAGTTTTGCTTCTTGTATTTTGTTTTTGTTTCTTGAATGGCTTAAGAACATGCTCTTGCGGTTGGGTACAAATGGGAAAAATGAAAATATACAGAGAAATATATTCACATATGTTTTATTTTTGATATCCAACAGAAATTTTACAAAAAGTTAATATTTTTAATCTTATGATTTCTCCGCAAATTAAGACTTTTGTGCTCAAGTCCTGTGCATTCTAAAATTTAAGGCTGAAAGAATTTAGAAGCTTTATTAGCTTAGAAGAAACATAATTTTAACTTTATGACTCTGTGCTTTAGAGTTGAAAAGAAGTCTGAAAAACAAAAGGTGGAGATGAAGGATAGAAGCAATAATATTGGTTTACTATTGAAGGGAAGTTGAGAGTTTGCAGAGGTTATATTTTGTTGCTAGATAAAATTCTAGCATTATTTCTGATATTTGTGCAAAGAGCTTTGATAATGTCTTTAGTACTCGATGTCTTTTTATAAAACCACTCACTTATTACATCATCGACTGAGACTTCTGTTTCTACATCAGTAGTTTAATCAAGAATCACTGTAGAAGGGCTTCAAAAGTTATTCAACTTTCTTTCTGTTCTTTTCATATGTTTGCTTCAGTATATTCATTGATGTTTCTTGTTTTGGATCCCAATGTGGTATCAGAGACCGACAGCTCATGGCTATCATAATTCATGATCTTCGTTAGTGTTTGTACTTTGTACTGTGTATGTGATTTTACTTGTATTGGTCCTTGTTATTACTGACTTTACATTCTTACTTTCATCTCATTCACCTAAAGTACTTATTTGCTATTTCTCTTAGACCATTTTGATGGCGGTGCCTTTGCCAAGCTCTTTGTTGGATCTGTTCCAAAAACTGCCACTGAAGAAGATGTAAGTAACTTGATGAAGCTGTTATCATAACTGAGATGTTAATTTCAAGCTTAGTCTTTCCAGAAAGTATACTACTTTCTCATATAGTTTTGAATCATGTTGAATTTCTTGCATCTTTGAACCTTCGTTGTACTTTCTGTTTATGGTTATCATACTTCCTTGTTACATTTTTAATTGGTATCTCTGTAATGTCCTCCTCATCTTATCCGCCCACCCTCTCTCTGTATACATTTCTTGCATGCTCTCACTGTTTCATTGCACATGCACACATTTATATAAATTGATCCCCTTTTTGGACATTTAACTAATTCTGGTGCTTTTGTTGAAATAGACTGGATACAGTTAATTCTTTAATCTGTTCAGTTATTACTATTGAGGTTCGATCCATGTTTACTAGTTTAGTGAAGATATATTGAGTTAATTGCTTATCACTTATCTCTTGAATTTAGCTGCCACGATCCGACCACAGTTGTTCTTGTCATTAAAATATTGCTTATTTGATACCAGATCCGCCCCTTGTTTGAAGAACACGGGAATGTGTTAGAGGTTGCTTTGATCAAAGATAAGCGAACAGGACAGCAACAAGGTATGTTCAACTACTGTTAGTTAAGAAATTTATTGCAATCTATATTATATCTCTTTTCAGGTCCTTTGAGGGGCTGATGGGAGCAACTGTAAGCTTATGTGTCGTCTCAGTTTTTTCAACAATTTTCGGGCTTCTTGGTTTTTGTGGCAACCTTTCTTTTATGTTCGTCCTGTCAACCAAGAAGAAGACAAGAATAAAACTACTAAAAAACGGTTATATATAGAGGTTGGGAACTTGGAAGATAGATCTTGCTCTTGTGCTACTGGCTGCAGCAGGGGTGGGGTGGGCATTATCCAGCAAGTCATTTGTAATTGACCTGACTTTCTAGTACATAACTGTAGCTTTTTATGTCATACTGTGTGGAAGTGCAAAGTTGTACAGCAAGTCAAACAACAATACTTGGATTTATGCTAATGAATGGGCATTAATTATTATGTTATGTGGAGGATGTCTATGGTTTCTTATCATGATAACCTGGTAGAGTGAATTCTTCATTTTGGATTGTTTGGCTTGTCTACGTACTAGTTTCAACTTTGACAGAGTGAGATGCATTTTAAATTGCCTTGTCAATCAAAGATGGTTTGGCATTTGAATTTAGTTAGTTTTGAGATTTCTGGTTTGTGGTCTTTGAAAGGCTACACTGTGAAGCTATGGACCTAAAGCTGATAGAATGAATAGTTCTTCTGGTTATTTGTAGTAGTTGTCTTCTTTAAATTAAAGCAAGTGGCTCGTGATATATTTTTGCTTGGATATTATTTGAAGCTAGCTAGTACGTCACTGATGTATGGTCTCAGGATGGATGTGTATCTTTTGGAGCCCACAATTTTGCTCCATTCTAGCTGAGCAGGAGTTGGACATTCAGCATGTGATATGATGTGGTGTGATGTTTTTTGATTTAATTTGGTGATTCTGATGATAATGGGGAGATGACTTGCTTCTGCGAGTTTCTTTATTTTGAGTTAGTGAGCTGAATTCCTTGGAAGCTCGCTGCAACTCATTTGAAATTCTTTTGCAATGTAGGCTAACTAGTGGTGCATCCTCTATTGAGTTGTGGTGAATCTTATGGATGTTTCTGTATTTGGTGTCCTAGTATTTTGTTTATTTATCATTTCATCCATTGAGGCGGTGTATGCCTAAGCAAAGTGTTTCAGTTGTAGTTGGCTTTTGCTACTGCTATTTTTCTTCCCCACCTTTAGCTCTTTTAAATTATGGCGAGCAACTCATCAAGTATGGGCATTATCTATCAGCATATGCTCGGGCTCTCCATTCATATATTTAACCAGTTTTTTTACCCCCAACTGCTGCAGGCCTGAGGGCTGTCAATGTGATGTTTTATTTTTTATTTTATTTTTATTTTTATTTTTTGGTTTTTTGGTTTTTTGGTTAGTTTGTGTCGTATAAATGTCAGCGCTTCCTCTTAAAATGTAGCCTCGTTTATCTGAGTTGATTGTTAGCATTGACGACATTCACGATTTAAGTGGCATTGCTTCAGGGAATTCAAAATGGCAATTTATCATGTGTAATTGTGGATGTTATGGATGTAGCATGTGGAATCTCATTATTTTTGTGTTCAGTTCTTCATAAGGGGCCCCCAATTATTGTATGCAGACACAACGAGTTCATAGTTACAGTTTTTCAGTTTTCTTGAGACCACGTTAATGGTTGATTTGCTTCTGTTATCCAAATTAAGATCCATGTCTCAAGTTACATATTTAACTCTGCAAGCTCATTTGTAGTTTGTACATATTATTTTATTGTGAAATTCTTTGGTTGAATGGTGGCTTTAGTGGTGTGAAGGTTGTAGTTTTATATTGATGGATATTCACACTCTCGTCTTGATACAGTGGCAACGTTTTCCTTTGGTGCCTGGATGAATTTTATTTTCAACCTCCATCCTTCTGCAAGAGTTTTGTGTGGTTAAATATTAAGCTGAGCAGTTATATGTATGGCGTTGTGTAATTATCATATGAAGAAGGTATAAAAAGGCTCTATCAGCTTACTTAAGACATTAGGTAATGTAATCAACAAAGCGTATCATAGGCCCAGGGAGGGGAAATTTTATTTTAAGAATAAAATGTACAATTTTAAAAGGTAGCCATAGCTTAATTGCGAGCCCTTTATTGAGTTTATGATTTTGGCCTGCGGATGGCATTATAGCTGCTGCTTGAAGTTTTTGTGTTGTCAAACATGATCCCTTATGTCAAATTTATGGCTTATTGACTTCATAGTTGATATGGTTGGATGCATATTGTGTATATATTGTCTGTAATAGTTTGTTTCAAATTATTGTACAGGGAGATTGCCCTTACCTTGTTGGCTCTTCAACTTTTTTTTCGTGCAGATTTATGTTGCTCTACCTGTTATCTCCTGGCAGTTGTCCAGTTACTTTTTTGTTCAGTTGTGGGTGGATCATGTATGCATGTTATAGAGGCTCGTTATTTTAATTGCTTTTACACCTATGGATGCAAGTCGACTTTTTACTCCTCAGATGTATCCAATACTTTTCTTACAGCAAATGAATGCCCTCGATTCTACTCACTGTTTAGATACGTGAATTAGGTTACCAAATACTATAAGTGGTTGGCAGTTTTACTTATGATGGGAACTTCTTTTTGGATGTTTGATGTGATGAGTGCAGGGATCTCAAAATGGTTTATGTTGTTTAGATGTTCTGTCTAATTAGATGGTGGTGTTTTGTCTTTTATTTCTTTGAATGTTATTATGACCTCAGTTATGAGCTTTAAGTCAAAGTTGGTAAAGTCCTCGACCATATATAGTATACTTGATCTTGGTGGTATAAATGAATAATCACTCAGTCCATTTGATATTATAAATTGAGGTGCTGGCGTGAAATTAGTGTTTTTTTTAAATATGATTCTGTGTATCAATGCCCACTCTGCTGCACATGGGCTGTTGGTTCAAGCAAAAGGTGTTTGATGGTTGCTTAAGCACAGACACACACACACACACATATATGTCTGAATGCGCATTTTTGTGCTGTGGTTTTGTGCGAATGTGGTAAAAATACAGGCGTGGTGGTGACATCTGTTGACTAACAGTCCCTTCCTAAATAAAATGAAATAAAAAAATGTAGAATTTGGCTTTGTGTGGGATTTTTTTAATTATTGCAGAATCGGATTCATGTTAAGTTCGTTCAAGGATTGAAGGACTCAAATATTGTCAATCCTAATAAGCATTTGCATAGTTTCCGTATTAAGGATTTGAGGTTAACCCATTCAGGATTGACAGGGACTTTTTATTTTGTACACACTTTGAATATAATGATTATTTAACCTTTTCTGCTTTTGTTGCCATGGCAAGATTGTGGTTCCTGACCAACAGCACTTGGGATGGCTTAAGTTTTTAGGTTGTGTGACTGTACATACGCAGACTTGGGTATTTATTTTAGTTGTAGATGGCTAGTGGTTTTAAAGTTTAAATTCGACATTGTGGTGATGGAATTAAGACTGAATAGTATATAATTAGTTGATAATTAGGAGCTGTCAGCCTTGTAGATAATTGACAGGGACATTGAACTCCATAGCATGGGTTTTTATGTTTGAAATACTGTGCAAAACGATACATGTGTGTATCCTGGAACTGCGATTTTGGTAGCAACTTTTCAAAGATTTTTTGGAATAATTTGTCTTTTTGCCTTCATGCTTAAAAATCGTATTCATCTTTTACAGCAAATTAACCTACAGCTCATACTCTATTGGCTCATGCACTTTTATCTGGTTGTCTTATCTGTATCATCATTAGGAAGTTAGAATTAACTTGATGAAATCAGGGATGAAATCAGGGTACACTATCTTTTTGTTTCTGCAGGATGTTGTTTTATAAAATATGCTACTTCAGAAGAAGCTGATAGGGCCATAAGAGCATTACACAACCAACATACTTTACCTGGGGTGAGTTTTCTTCCTGTCTTATATTTGCACTTGGCTAACTTATGTTTGATAGTTTGACACACATGTGTATTTTCCAGGGAGTGGGTCCTATCCAAGTTAGATATGCTGATGGGGAACGCGAACGCCTTGGTAATTTTATGTGACTTTCAATATTTGGTTTTCTACATTTTTTTTTTCCTGAATGGGTTTTTCTACTTTCTTCTTTCCTGGTAGTTGCATATTTGTATAAGAACATTTTTGTTTGGGAGAGAGAAATTTTCGTTAAGCTAATAGAGTGTTATTTTTTTTTAAATAGCATGTCTCTGCAGTTTCTTTGATTAATTAGATGGAGTCACTTTTTCAATGTCCAGCTGTAGCATGGAAAATCATAATTTTAGCTGTTATTTGTCTACAACAAATTGTTATAATGAGCTACGGTGTAAAGACCGTACAGTTAAGAAATTTAATTGAGTTCTTAGAGAAGAATTTTCCCCTCTAAGTGCTTTCTTTATAATAAAAGTGAGGGTTCTAGAGGAACTCATGAGAAGAATCTCGTTCAGGACTTACGGTCATAATTATGAGGACCAGTTATGTAGACTATTAGGGTAGATAATCATACATATGAAACACTATCATGTTCTCCCTCCTTGGGAGTTATTTCTTCAATTACAATTGCTATTGTCATTAAATTTTTTTGTTGTTTCACATTATGAAACCTTACGTGTTAGACAAAACACAGCATATCTTTATTATTATTATTATTATTATTTATTATTTTACTTATAAAAAAAGAAAAAAGAAAGTTGATTGGCTAAGACGCTCAGTGCCTTCTAGTCGAAGGGAAATGATAACATTCTTTTTTGTTCTATATGGTTTTATTAAGTTGGTCTAGGGCTGATTTCACCGGAAACATTGAAATGGATTTGAGAATCTTCTAGTAGGATACTTTGTGCTTGTTGTATATCAAACATATCTGTTATTCAGGTATTATGTAACATTTGTGAATATCTTTGGTTATTGCTGGGGGATTTAAACATGCTGTCCCTTAACACTCTTCAGAAGGTGGTTATATTTTGAGGCTGACAGATAGTTTTATTGTGTTCTGGTTGCTTAAGATTTGGGTTTTAGTGAGTAGTGTGCCTAGTGACTGGTGGTATTTTTGTTTTTTTTGCAAGATTGATCAGGCAAAAATGATTAGTGTTGTTGCAAGGTTTTGAGACTCAATCGAGTTGTAATAGATTCAGCCAAAATCGATATGAGTATCAGCCATATAGCGGTGAACTCTATTTCACACAAGACTAGGCTGATATGACAGCTTTATAAGACATTTTTTTCCCTTTTCTCCTAGGCTATTATGATTAAAGCTTTTTTTTAGGATTGCTATTAGCCAAATATGGTTCTAAGTTGCTCAGGTATTTTAGAAAGACGAGGCCATTGTGAAGTAAGATAGAGTGGAAACCATGTAGTTTTTTGTATGACAAAAGAGTCTTGTGGGAGTGGCCTCTTTCTAAGGAGTGTCTTTTAAAGTGAAAAAAGAGTGGAAACATGTAATCCTTTGGTGACGGAAGGGTCTTTGAGGGAGTGGCCTCCTTCAAAGCAATCTAAGGCTTACAAAATTTTTGGTGGCACCATCATGTGTTGACTCAGCATGGGATCATGGAAATTAAAGCAGATTGCAGTTTAATAACAGGTTGTGGCGTAAGCGAGTTTGGGTTCTCAAATGAATTGTGATAGATGTTGGTGGATCTTCAGAGAGTAATCTCATTGATGGTTTAGCAGTGTATTCTTTTGGTTGTTCACCTGTGTATATAGGCTTTGATGTGAACAATGTAAACCTTGTGTATCATGGTTGTGGTCTGCGTGATCCACTTTTCTTGGTTTCATGCTTGCACATGATCTTATGAGGTTTTCTGCACACTCAAATCTGTTGGTTGGATTTTTATTTTCCCACTCTCTCATTATGTTGTAAACATATGTTAAATAGATTATGCCTTACGAATTAGTTACTAAGTGTTTTAAAGAAACCAATGTTATGAGATTGGGAATAGAGAAGATTGTTCATGGTTTGATATGTAATATAAAAGAGGTTTTCATCTCCCCAATTTTCAGCTTGAACCAGCCTGCCTTGGCAGAGGCTTTTTTGAGATAAATTATAGTCTCAGTACTTAATGTTCAATTCTTGTTTTCTGATCGTTCTGTTTCTGATGTTGTTCCCTTTTATGGTAGGTGCAGTTGAGTACAAATTATTTGTCGGCTCACTAAACAAACAAGCTACAGAAAAGGAAGTTGAGGAAGTATGTTGCATGTGTATTGATGAGTTTAATTTGCCCATGCTATTCTTTTTTCTAGAATTAGTGTACTTCTAGCTCCTTCCTTCCTGAAAATCTTTTCACACTTTGTATTGAATCTTTCCTTTTCCAACTCCCAAATCTGAATCCAATGGAGTAAAGAAATATTAGCTATTTTTTTTATTAATTTTGTTTTCAATATTCCCTTTGATTAATTTTAATGCAAACAAATAAATATTATCTGATTGCTACCTTTTCCTTTGTCAGATTTTTTCACCTTATGGTCGAGTTGAAGATGTCTATCTCATGCGTGACGAATTGAAGCAGAGTCGTGGTTTGTCTTGTTATACTCTTGCTAATTCTTGCAATCATGCTATAATTTGAATAATGGGATTGGAAGAAGGCATCCTTCTTAGCCGTACTTCTTACCTGAATATGGTGTCTCACATTGGTATCATGGATTAAAGCAGCTATTAGATGTTTGCTACTATCTCTTCATTTTATTTGCTTTAATTCAAATATCTATTCATCTATACAATGGCATGTGAGGATAATTCCTTCCTTCCAATCACTGTTTAAGGTCTCTACTATGATTAATGTTGTCACGTTTCTATACATTCCTAATGAATATGTTCAACCTATTTTGAAGGATGTGGATTTGTTAAATATTCTCAGAGAGAAATGGCAATGGCAGCTATAAATGCTCTTAATGGAATATATATAATGAGAGTAAGCTTACTTCATTCTTCTACTGCTTTTCTGTGCTCTGGTTCTGTTATTGAAGGTTACTCATTTACCATTTCTTTTGCATGTTAGGGTTGTGATCAACCATTAACTGTTCGATTTGCTGATCCTAAGAGGCCTAGATCTGGAGAATCAAGGTTTATTTTTTTATATTGCATTATTATAATTTCTTCATGTACACCTGTTGTCCGTTTTATGCGTGGTGCTATAAGTTGATTAGTGCAATGTGCAGGCTGGGCACATACCCCTTGGTTCAATGTTGAGAGTTTCTTATTTCCTACTTTGGCTTAGCAAGAAATTAATTTAGTAAACTTCTGATAGTGCATGCTAAATGAACATAAATATTATTGCTTGAGCATCCACATGAGAGACTTTTTGGTGTGACACATACAGATTTTTTCCATGGCCCAAAAGATCTGCTCAGGTGGATCTTTGGAGGCATCATATCCTATTTTGATATTGATTATCAAGTGTACTTTCCTATATTCTTACTTTATACGTTATCTTTCACTTTCAGGGTGGGTGGTCCTGCATTTGGGGGTCCAGGCTTTGGCCCTCGGTTTCAAGCACCTGGGAATAGGTACTATATTTAATGTTTTTATGGTGAATTTCTTTTATGTAATGTTTTTATGGTGAATTTCATTTCATATCATTTTATTCCCGGTTTATATACTCTTTCAGTGTTCTTACTTTTTTACTTCTTTTGTGAACTTACTTTGTGCAGACCACCGCCAAATCTTGTCGAGCCTATGCGTGGTGGTATTCCACCTAATGCCTGGCATCCTATGAGTCCACAGGATCTGGGACCAGGTTCTAATGCTCGCATGCATGGTTTTGGGAGTCAGTTGCTCCCTAGGTCTGGTGATATGGCAATGCCTTCAACTCCGGTAAGAAAAACTCGATGATCCTGTAGCTCGTTCCTCTTGATATATGCATGTGTTTGTATGTGTGTGTGTGTATATATATTTATTCTCTGAGGAAAATGTTCTTAACATAGACCAAATCTGGTGCTTCAGTGTTGTATATCATAATGTGTTTTTTGCTTTGCTTTCTTTTTTAGCGGGAGTTATATTTTTGTTGCTTTTGCTTTCTTCTCAGTTGATTCACTTGTGTACCAGTTTTTTTCTTAATTATTATCGTTGCATATTTTTCAGGGTGGTCCCCTGAGTGGCTCTGTGGATGGTTCCTTTCCAGGACTTGCAGTTTCATCTTCTGCATTACAACAGGTATATGCAGATTGATTTATAGAAGCCTTCATGTGGTATCTGGGTTCTTTGGAGAAAATGGAATTCATGGTTTCCATGATTTGTGTTTCAGAGCTATAATCAGTCTTTGTCACAAGCCCTATCTATTGGCCAGCAAGTATCACCATTACAGAAGCCACTTCAGTCACCACAGCATTTGCCATCTTCCCTGCAGCTACATCCTCATATTCCATCATCTTACTCGCAGACTGAAACTTCCAATGCACCACTCCGGCAACTTGGTCAACTGCAGTTTCCACAAGCTGCTAATCAAATCCCCTTCAGTCAGGCGTTTCCATCACAACAGTTGCACGGTTTGAGTGGACAGTTACCTGTTTCTCAGCCTCATATCCAGCAGAATGCCTCATCTGCTACAGCACAAGCCCCTCAGAGTTCTAACTTGCAGCCGCATGCTCTTTCTGCTATGGCAAACCAACAGCAGATTCCCGTTCCTGTTCAGCAACAAATGCTTCAGCCATTACATCAGTCACCTTCTCAATTAGCTCAGATGTTGTCACAACAGACACAAAATCTACAGGCAAGCTACCAGTCATCTAAGCAGGCATTTTCTCAGCTTCAACAGCAGCTGCAGTCGATGCAACCATCTAATCAAAGTTTAACATCACAGCAGAGTTCTCAGGCTGCTAAACAGCAGGTATTACAAATTTAGACGTTAGAGGGTATGCTTTATTTATTAATTACTACAGGAAATTAGAAGATATTTGTTTGCTTAACAAGCTGATTTTTTTATTTTTTATTTTGCAATCAAATAGGTCTGCTCTAGTTCAGGGTTTAGCCACTTTATGTGTGCCATCAGTCATTGTAGATTGCATGGTTAATGCCTTCCTTAGTGCCATGAAAAATAGTTTTTGAGAGTTTAAAATGTTGCTTCTTTAAGAATAATTTGGATTTGAGACTGGATATTCATTTTATACCTGTGAAATGAGGTGTGGAATAGATTCATTTTGTTTGTTACAGTTGTAGTAGATCCCATTTTGCCTACATATTTGCCATGTCAGGATGTTGGTAAACCCTTTTTTGATATATAGATCTACCAGCTGCTTTCGTTTCACATTAGTGTTTGATAGTCTCTTATCAGTTCTTTCTATCTTAAACAATTTCTTTGGCCGCTATATTGGCTTTTGACTTGCACATTCATTTAATTATCTTTGACTACCTTTGGAAATTCTGCTGAGAATTTTTCGTTGCTGCAGCCTTCATGGACTGGGATTGTACAACAGACAGTTTCCAGCACCCCTGCGGTTGCACCAGTAGCCGATGTGCCCCCTGCTACCTCTGCTGCTCCGGTTGTTTCTGTGACAAACCAAGCTGTAGCTCCTGTAAAATGTAATTGGACAGAGCACACCTCCCCCGATGGATACAAGTACTATTACAATAGCACAACCGGTGAAAGCAGAGTAAGAAAATTTTCCATTGACTCTGTTGTTCTCTCTCTCTCTCTCTCTCTCTCTCTCTCTCTATGTTTGTATATATATATTCAGTTTATGTGACAAATGTTTGTGACTTGAACCTGTAGTGGGAGAAACCGGAGGAGTTGGCATTATTTGAGCAGCAGCGACAACCAAAACCATCAATTCAACAGCCTCAGACGCAATCTCACCCTCAAGGTCTGTCTATACACCAAGTTCCTCAGGCACAAGTGCAGCTTCAAAACCAACTTCAGACACAGCTTCAGATGCAACCCCGCCACCCGCAGCAATTGCAGCAAACTTCTTTATCTTCCCCAGTCAGTGTTCATTTTGTACTTTACATATATACATATACATACATATATATTTGGTTATGTTACTTATTTGATTATTTGATATTCCAGTATCAGGCTTCTGGAGTTTCCAATCACCAGACTATCCAGGTACATCATATATTGGTTACAAAATTTTAATACTTCTATTAATGTACTTTTCTTCCCTTGTGATGGAATTAAGTTCTTACTAAGGATATTAGTAGTTCTATTTTGTGTTGAAGAGTCCATGCATTTAACTTGTAGTTGTAAATTTGTTATATATAACACTAAGCCCAAATTAGCTTTTTATCCTGGATTTAAGAATACTTCATTTTTGCTTTATTAAATAAATAAAGCAAGGTTTATTAAGAGAGACACTATGCCCTCAGGATTGTTGGCTGAATTGGGCTGAAAATAAACCTTTAGAACACACTAAGCCCTCAGAATTGTTTGCTAAATTGGACAGTAAATAAGTGGTTTAATTGTTTATTAAATAGTTCAAGAATTATAATATATTACTTATTTTTTTTACTCGCTCTTGTTTTTCCTGAGTGCTATCTTTGACCTGTGATATTGTTAAATCGATAAATCGTTTTTTCAACCATGGTTCTTCTGCTTTGGGGAGTTATTGGTTCTTTTGGACACACTACCATTTGGTTGATTGGAGTTGCATTTTTTTCAACATATGGTTTTGAATATTCTTTTTAATTACCCTGCAAAGTATTCCTGTAATTCTTTTATCTAGAAGTTAAATGATTTGATTTTTGGAAGTATGAATTATGAATTGCTAGGTTTGACTTTTCATCAAATGAGCTACTTCTGGTAGTTGCAATAACTGTAATCCTAGCCATGCAATTTGTCTAGTCTTGTATTGGTGATGGATTATACATAAGCTGTACTTACAGGGCGATCCTTAAAGCACATGGAAGAGAAAATATCATCTTAAAGTTGCATCGTCATACTGTTATCAGGATTTGTTTTTCTCTGAAGTAGTCAAAAGAGAGCCCTAAAATATGTTCTTTCAGGGTTGATGTTTACTAGATAACTGTTGCATTGTATGATATACCTGGCTGAACTGTCTGTAACTCAAATGTACAGAAGTTGAAATGCCATTATGCCAATATAACTAAGCAACTAGCCATAATACATTTTTTAGAGATTTGTTGAGGATTTTTTATTTTGGCTCAATTTGTCATGGTTTAACACTGGTAGCTTATGGTCATTCTGGCTTTTGGTGTTGCAGGAAGTTGGTTATCCGCAACAGGTAGCAGCTAGTTTAGTCAATGATCCCACACGCTTCCAGCAGGTATGACTTGTTGAATTTTCCTTGTCTCAGTCTTCTTTCTTTGATGATTGATCGCTGAATTTATTCCCATTTGTATCTCTGCTGCAGGGGCTTCAAGCTGCCCAGGAATGGATGTGGAAAACCAAACCTGCAGGTGCTGCTGACTTTCTCTTGCTTTAGGTTTTGGTCTGTTGTTGCTTTTTGGAAACTTACAAGAATCCTAAGCCGCCCTCTTTTTTTTTTTTGTTTTTAAAACGATGCATCATCTTATTTTCAGCTGAAATTCATCCAAAAAGTAAATTAATAAACAAATACTCATTATGTATTTTGACAACTTTTTATCTTCAGGAACTTGAAGCGTACCAGAGGCAGAAAATTGGTGATAAAGTGGCTGATCGAAGAATGTTGCTCGAGTTAGAACGGAATCAAATTCTGACAATGGAGAAGCCGGCAGGCATGAATGCTTTTAATTTAAATGCCTTGCGGCAATGTGGAACAAAATTTTCGTATCATCATAGTGAGGTTTTACAGTGTCAACGTAACTAGCTTAATGAATTAAAGATTCTGCGTCTTGAATTTGCATGGTCCGACTACCTCCTCTGCTCAGTGTTATGATAACTTCTTGTAATAATCTTTTGCTATCAATGAGTTATTGAAGCTTAAACCTGTACGTTGATTAGTTGTTATGACGTCTTCCATTAAACCCTAGTTGGCATTGAAGGCCATCTGCTTGAGTTACACCCGTTTTATTAATGGTTAACTATAGTCAACAGAAACTCTTCTATTGGAAAGTGCACCTGCTGGTAATTTGTTGTCTTGGTAAATTCATGGTTGACTGGTTCAATACTTCATCGGGGAGCTGTGTTATAGATGTGTTTGGGTGCTAAGAATTTCTAAACCTTTTGGGAAATACGTTATCTCGAAAATTTGTTTTTCTTGGTAACTCCTTCCAACAATTCATCAATACAACTATGAATTGTCGGTTGTTTGGGTGCTAGGAATTTCCGAACTCCTATCTATGGAAAATAAACCCACCACCAAAATTTTCTGCCCATTTAATTTAAGGGCTGTTAGTTTCAAGATTCCATCAGAATGTGTTGTAGAAATGTTTGGATGCTAGGAAAATTGTTAAAAGCACTAGTCCTCAATACTGCAACAATCATTTCACTGAATAGCTAACAAGGTGAAAACATTATTTCATCACTAGTTTAGAGTTTCATAACACCAACCACTGCAATGTTCTAACTCATAGCACACCAGTAACTAGGCGTTCACAAACCTACAGTTCCTACGTATTTCACCGTTTTGTCCAGTTCTGGGTCCCAAGCTTCCCATTTTGAGCATTGACCTCTTAAATTCCTCAAAAAAGAGTGCGAGGTCATTTACGTAAGATTCGACAATTTCACGTGTCTGGCTGTCTCCATTCACAAGAGCCTGATCAGATGGAAGCAATCCCTCCCCAGAAATTAGGTTAACATAGTACTGGTTATCAAATGTTGACGGGGTCACCAGGTCAAGATGTGCCAGCGTTGTGTTGCTATCTGCTTCTGAGCATAGTTGCTGGAGAGAGGTAAGAAAGGCCACATCAATGTCTGGGCCATTTGAGTCGCTATTGCTATTACCCTTTAGGCGAGAGGTAAATGTGGAGCATCGAGCTTTGCCCATTGTGTGTGCACCTCCCAAAAGAGAAGAAAGAACGTTTTCTCAGCATCCAAACATGCATGTTCTGAGTTAAAAATAATGAAAGTAAAGCAAAATCAAGCTACCTGAGAGGGTAACGACATCAGCAAGCGTGAGACCAACATTTCTGAACTTGGTGACGAGTGTTGGGACGTCCGAATTGGGGCCTGGAATGTTGTTGTTGGCTGCTGTTTTGCTTGCTGTCAAGCTGTCCCTCCTTCCCATTTCCACTTCCCAGCCCGGGCCACCTGACTGGGGAATTAGAATGCAAATTAGTACACAACCACACTAGTACTCGTTCACAATAGTTAGAGAGAACCAGTGTAGTGATCACTAACACACAGCACATATATACCAGAACAACAGAGTCTCTTGCTGCAATTGCAAGAATATCAGCACAAGAGACAGTTTCAGGACAAACTGACTCGAGATCAGACTTGATCGTATCGATCACTTCAAACCCTCTCAGTGAATTCGAGTTTGGTGCTGCAGTTTTCTCCCCAACCAAATTTCCCATGTCATCTAACAACACTGATGCATCACATCCCTGCAACCAAACTTGTGTTCATTAATATTAAACTATTGATATGATCCATCATATATATAGAACAAAAAATTTGAAACATGACATGCATTAACAAAGCAATCGTGGAAATGAAGTCGAAGCAGAGAAGCGGCCATTCTAGGGTCTTGGGACACTGCCCTTTCCACCCAAGAGAAGATGATGGGCTCAGCCTCTGGGCAGCTATCTTGATACACACCAAATTGCAATACAACAGTAGCAGCACCGTCGGCGCATGCTTCATTGGAGATGTTAGGCAAGTTTGCCATGGTGATTGAGAACTTGAGCATGAGTAAACAGAAAAAAGCCAAGTAAAAGGCCATTTTTGTATGCTTAACACTGTTAATTAGCTTTGGATAGTTGGGAACTTTATATAGATGAAGCTTGGAGGAGTTGAGAGAGAGAGTGAGTGAGTGAGTAGATGATGAAATATGTACAAAAAGAGTTGGTAAGTAAAGGAGGGCATAGTCAAGGCTTGGAAAAGTTCAGTTCATGATGATGGACATGCAGAATCTACATTTATTCACCTAATGCCATGTGCTTCTTCATGCTTTTTGAATCTTTCAAATTTCATGTTGTTGTGAGAGAGAGAGATCTTAATTAAGACATTAATGTCAATTACACCAGAAGGAGTTTTGGACCCTAACCTACCTCTCTCTCTCTTGCTTAACACTTTTCCTTGCCATGAAAATAACAATGTACTAGAAACTTAATCTGAATCCTCTCCTGTGTTTTTTCATCCTATGCCGTGTCTTGTACCTTTACATCGCCTATGTAACAATTCATATTACTTGCACAACAACTATACATCACTTATACATTACATTGTTATTTCATAATATTGCACTTCGTCATGAGATTATTGCATTACAAGATAGTGTGTTGCACCAACTCCAGTGATGTTATTTGAATAGAGGGGTTTAAGATTTCTAACAATTCAAGTTATTGTGAAGGACACTTAATTGTGAAAGTGACCATTGTGAATATGTGTGGTACTTATCAAAATAAATAACAACAACTACTACAGAACAACAGTAACTATGTTGTATAAAAGAGGCCTGTAAAGCCCAGTTTCTTAAACAACAGCCCATTTGTCCAATGGGCTTTCCTACCACAAAGAATCACAAAAGAAAGCCTGTAAAACTAGTGGCCTAATGAAGAGACAATTGGTCCAATGGGCTTTACTCCAACACAAAGTGGTGGCTAATTAACTTGACATTTTTACTATTTTATTCACATATTAGATCTTTAAAAAAAAAAAAAAAAAAAAAAAATTAAAATTAAATATTAGCGGGGTAATTTTTCAACCGCATGCTTAGCCAGCAAGTCTATTATGAATAAACCAGACATTGGATATAAATTATAATGATATAAATGTGACATCAAAATATTTGGAAAATCAAATAACTAGACCCTTGCCTATGCTTAATCCTAAAGTCCTGGGTTCGACCAAGCATAAGTTAAAATCATCAACTACGTATGACCTTTGAATGTAACCTAAAAGTATGAACTATATACATATATGGCTTAGAAAAGGAATTAACTTAAAGAGAAAAAGACAGCTTGTAAACATTTTGGGGGATATAATTTCTATCTCTATTTATTTATATATTTTTTATTTTTATATTTCTTGGGGAAAGAGTTATGTAACAGTACAGGGATCTACTTTTTGACTAAATTGTATCTAAAAGGTATTGCCACCATAAATTTATTCTTTTTTTTTTCGTGGATTCTTTTCATTCATCAAACAAAAAGATATAAAAATAAATTAAAAAAAAATTCCATGAAATTCCAGCTATGATGAATATTATAATTTATTGTACATCAGAGAATATTTGAAGCTAGAGTCGACTATGGATACTGAAAACTGGCATTCCTTTACAGCTATTGAAGTTAATCGATCAGATAACTCATGACGCATTTTTATTCCTTTAATTGCTTCATTAGTTCACATGTATATACATTTCAAATGTTATTGTTGTATATATATATGAATTTACAAATTCAGTACTTTTGGACCGCAAATTAAGAATATCAACTTCAAGTTATTAATGGTTGAATTGCTTAGAATGCAAGAAATAATTACAAGTACAATGAAGTTTCTCGAGAAAGTGTAAACAAAACACGTTTTCCCTCCACTTTTATGTTTCCATAATGCTTAAAAGAATGCACCAAACGCTCTCCAACCCCTGCAAAAGAATATTCCCCTTCTTGTTTCAATCAAACATGACAATCATTATATGTTTCTTTTTCTTAGCCACCAATATGCATTCCCATGCACATTCACACTACTTACCGGGAAAAAAAAAAAAAGCATTCACACTAATATTGTGCTCAAAACCCTTCAAAATTACCAGCAAAGTATTTTATTTTCTTCAATTAAACGCGCGCGGTTTATCTATATGATTTTCTCAAAACTACACTTCAAGAATAATGAATCCACAATGTACATCTTATACCTACCAATGGATGTTGTCAACATATTTAGCCATAAATCTCAGCTTGTTCCATACATTTTGTCCATTTAGAGGAAGATAAGATTTGATAACTCTCCTTGTTGTCATGCCTTTAAATGGAGAAATTTGTACATTAGAAAAGGTCGGTTGGCCAGAACATGATTACTCAATACTATTCTCATCCCAAATCTCTCTCTACACACACACACATTTTTATAGCTATATTGTATAGATTTACAATAACATGCATGTACATACAATATACTTTTGAAAAAGGCATGTGTGTGTGTGTGTGTGTGTGTGTGCCTTCAGATATATACTAGACCGAATATTTGTATATATATATGCTAGTAGCCTAGTACATGATCATGGCTGGCTCTTCTAAGGATGGGATAAAGCAAGAAATTGTACAAATCCATAAGCCTTTCATGAAAAGAAACTCTCTGCCTAACATAGGTTAGAGTTCGTATGTATGGCTAGAAGCAGCATTGCATTCGAAATAAACTCTACATTCCTGGTAAAGGCAGTGTCATTTAATTTGGACAAGGACCTTCCAACTTCAATGAACATGAAAACCATGTTTTTCATTAGCAATGTTAAGATTAAGCAACCACACACATATCAACCAAAATCTCACACCACCATTTTACCAATCAACCACTTCCTATTACCTCACCACCTGTGTGTATATGTGTGTGTGTGAATATATATATAGCTTGAAGATATAGTAGCAATTAAGGCCATAATTTGGTGTGAAGTAAACGTATGATTAAAGTAACTACACCATACAAAGAGATTGCATGCATCAAAAAGTGGGAAATCGATCAAGACGTATTTCAACATATCACATTATTCACATTAATTAATATTAAGTCTAAATTAACAAATTTCCATGAACCATTCTATTCTTAGGGTTTAATATATACTGACCTCTCTCAACAAGGCATAGAATCAAGTTCCCAAGTTTATTCTTGTCTCCATTTCCCACAATAAGAGATGGAAGAAAACCTGTCAACTTGCTCAATGGAGAAACCCTAACCAGTAAAAATTCTCAACAAAATATATACCAACATATATTTGGCACATGCAATCAAATAAATTAAAAGAACGACAAGACGAATAAAGAGAGATCCAACTAAAAAGGAAAAGATAAAAAAAAAAAAACCCAAAATCTCCATAATTAATTAGATATAAATAAAAAGTAATTAAGTACAAAGAATTAACAAAAAGAACCAATTAAGTATAAATTAATTAAACAAGTTCCTCTATGAACTAAAAGACTAGTCAATATTTTACAGTGACACTGATCAAAGAGGTCTCAATGTAATGGTAAGTACGAAAACTAAAAGGATTCTTATCTAAAGTGAACCCTTCCATGATCAGTCAGTTGATCAGAGACTTACATACATACATACATATATATATATATATATATATATATATATATGCCTATATATAACAAGCAAATTAAACAACTTAATTCTACTCCTCTTTGGGCTCCTTTCGCATCTGGGAAGGCACAACGTCCTGAAGAAGCCCATGATCTGTAAGCAAAGGAGTTGAAGAGGGGCAAAAAGTCCTCCTCTCTTGAAAAAAAGCTGGAAATGAAGAACCATTAGTACTGTTATAGTTCAAAGAAGGTATTGCTGGTGTTTGGTTATTGATATAGGGTTGTTGATGCTGCTGCTGATAGTAATTAGGCTGCGGAATAACAAAGGAGCCAACTCCGCCGCCACCGCCACCACCAAGCCTGAGAGATTCCGGCATAATTCCGATATTCCCGCGAGGCGTTATCGGGCATGGATGAGTGTGTGAACCTTCATAGGTGGTGATGACAATCGACGGATCATCGGAAGATCTCTCTACTCGCTTCTTCACTCCACATGCTGCAGTGGTGCAACGATAGTAGCTCCTGTATATATATAAAAATATAAAAATAAATAAATAAATATATATATATTAATAATTACAACAAAAAACCCACAAAAGCTTTAACAAAGTTCAATCATATTCCTAGAATAAAACACAATATTGGCAATCAAATCTAACAAAATCACACACATATATACACACACATATATACCTTGGAAAAGGGCTGTTTTTAACCGCTTTTTGGCCATACTTTCTCCATCTATACCCATCATCCAGGTGATCAACCTCGCTCTTTGTCACAAACGCAAATCTGGGCTCTCTTTGCCTTTTTGGGTTCTTCTTTTTGGGTTTCAACCTAAATCCACAAACAGATTAATTATATATACTTCCCTTGTAAAAATATAAAATTAATCAAACTCATATATATCAAATCTACACATATTCACACACTTAAGCGAATCATTTCCCCCTTTGATGGGTTTTCTAAATTAATTCTTTTCTGTTATCTTTCATGCATAACTTTGGAAAAAAGATAATAAAAAAAGTGTATATACACACACATATAATTATATATATATTAGAAAATTATATATGCTTACTGTTTCTTAGTGTTGTCTCGATCCTGGTCCTCTTCTTCCACAGTTTTAGTCTGTTCAGCGTTTGCGGCTGCTTCATTTGACGACGAAGAGATCGATGAAGAATTCGGAGTGGCCGGAGTATTCACCACCTCCGACGAGTCCGGCACAGTCGAGGCCGGAGTGGACGGAAGCTGTGGCGGTGTGAGCAACGGCTTCTGAAGCAAATCGAACAGAGATGGATTGTAATCTTGGATACCCAACATGTCCATGAAGCCTAAAGAGTCCTTTTCAGCTTCACATGGCATGTCAAAGAAGCTTGAGAAACCGAAGCTCGTCGGAATCTGATCGGAAAATGCCACACACTCCATCAAATTATCAGTGTATTTTTGATCCTCTCTCTTCTCCATAGATTTGATCAGAAGCATAGATTCTCCTTCATTTGATGATGTAGAGGAAGAGAGGTGTGTAGTCTTGTAGAGAGAAATTATTTAAGAGAGAGAAATGGAGGAGAGAGAGAATAAGAGAAGGTGTTTTTGGGGAACTGGTTGGCTTATTTGAGAGGTTTCGTTTCACATTTGGGTTGACCGACAAGTCCCGGTGGACAGTGTGTACGGAAATATGTTTGGGCATTAAATTGTTAGAGCACCGCCAAGCCCAGTACTGGCCCGACAAAGTAATAGTCCACGGTTTCATACGCGGCCTGTTGACTTTTAACCGGTTTTACTATGTGTGGAAGGTCCCCTTTCTTACACGTCGGCTCGATAAAGTTTGGCTCGTGTGCATGTAATCCGCAGATAAATCTTTTCGCCGTTTTACTTTTTTACTTCTTTATTATTATTATTATTATTTTAAATTTTTTTTATCAAAATTTTCTTTTAAGTTTGGTTTGTTTGGATATAAAATATTTTTTAGAAAATAATTATTTTTTATTTTTTTTGATGTTTGGGTATTGTAAAATATTTACGAAGAAAAAATTAGAATATAATAAAAATAATTTATCTATTAATTATCGGTAAGTTATTTTACATACTATGTTCGATGGAATCGACCTTAACCTAAATCTTTACCAAATACCGAAAAAAAAAAAACATTTTATCTCAAAAAGAAAAATCTTTTTCGGGGAAAAAATATTTTACGTTCGAAACAATTAGCGGAGTTAACTTCTGAACACTTTCCTTTAAAAAAAATGAATAATAAAAAAACTAACTTTGAATGAAAATTTTTCACACTTGTGCGTATATATAAAAATCGGACATATAGGACTGTTTAATGTGAGTGAAGGATTATATCATGATATAATTTTTACTTACATATATGCACTCGGATATGTCTAACATTCGGACGCGGTATCACGACCCATATTATATATTGGGATCGAGTGTAGTACAACACAAGTGATGTACTGCACGAGATAAGCACAACACACGCGTGTATAGAGAATTTGGGACTTATATATATAGAAATGATCCTCCACTCACATAAATGCACTTAAATATATCTAACATTCGGACGCGGTATATATATATATATATATATATATTATTGGGATCGAGTGTAGTACAACATAGGTGGTGCTATACTACATGGCCGGCACAACATACACGTGCGTAGAGAATTCGGGATTTATATATATGGAAATGAGTTCTTTAATATTTTTTAATTAAAAACAAGTTGTAATTATTGAAAAGATATTGAAGTGCGATTATGTGTTTAAGGAAACTGTTTTATTTTTTATTTTTAAAAAATAAGTGCTAGTGAAGTGCAAATGTAGAGTATAAACTGAAGGTAAAATTGGCATTCCAATTTTAACGAACACTTGAATTTTAAATAAATAAATAAAAGTTACTTTTAAGATAGAGTTGCCAAATGACATTTAGCAGTTATATTTAATAGTAAATAATATATTGATGACTTGAAATTGTAGTTGGATAAAAATTAGTTCAAACTTAATTTTTTTTTTTTGAATTTCAATTTCAAGACATTAGTTTGGTACTATTGAACATAATATTATATTATTTGAATTTTATTATTACTATTTTGTTTTTAAAAAATGGAGAAGTGCAAAAGTACGAAAGTGGGGTGCTGAATATATTGCCATTTCATAATTATACATAATATCAAAATTCATAGTGTGTATTTGCGAGCGTTGGTTATGTTGGTCAGTGTAGCATGCAATGCCTCTGTTTGATCGAGCCGTGCCATTTCATATGAAAATTAATTGGTGTTCCATGAGGGAAAGTCAAGCCTTTTATGGCATTTTGCACCCAGACACACTCGAAAGCACGATGCAATCCAACAAGTGGTATCGGGAGGGAGTGTTGGTTAGTGTAGAACACATTGTCGCTCTTTGGAGGGGTGGATTCTGATATCGAAATCTACGTATAGCACTTGCTCCATCCACACTTCGGCGATATGGAATTGTGCACATGTAGCTTACCCAATGTGGTAGTTTACTGGTGCCACTTGCATACGCTCACACACACCCGCTCACAAGGTTACTACAATCACCCCTTTGGGCCCAAAGTCCCCATTGGCTACACTTCTGACTGGGTCAGACTCTGATACTAATTGTAACAACTCTCACCCTACTCAGACACAATATTGTCCGCTTTTAGTTCCCTTGGATCAGAGACTTCCCAGAGGGTTACCCATCCGGGTACTACTCTAGGTTAAGCACGCTTAGAGTTTTGGTAGGTTCACGGCCATTACGGCTTTAAAACGCGTTGTGTTATAGAAAAGTGTTTAATTTATATATAATATTTGCTCCATCCATACTCAGGCAATGTGAGATTGTGTATCTGTAACTCGCCCAGTGTGATAATCTACTGATACCACTTATATATGCTCACACATTCGCCCACAAGATTGCTACATCAAATATCATAAAAGACGCATTCTTCTCTCCTCGTTACTAATTATTGATTCTCACAATTGTTACAACATGATGAATTATCCGACGAGTGATGTTAATTTTCGTTGAGTAAAACAGTTGATTAAAATATGTACGAAAGTACTTGATATATGCTTGGTTGACTAGCAATCTGATAGATAATGAAGCATTGCATTGAAGTTCTTCTACTGCGTTTCATTGATGGTTCATAAAGTCTAGACTTCGATCTCTTTATGTGCATGGCTCCATATATTAAATATACAAGACTATAGGTCCCTCAAACTTTTTAATTAAGCTAGAACAGTTGCATAGTCTACACCATCATAAACAATATTTATTGTGACGGTAATTTGTTAACAAAAATTAATGATTCAAAACTTTTCAATCACTAGTGACACCCAACTTTGGTAGGTTTCGAAAAATTGTAGGTTTTTCAGATGTTAATATGAAAAAGAAATGTACGTATTACTAAAGGTGATGGAATCACCTCCCAATAGTAGCATACAAAACAAGTTAAATATGCAAAAATTTATTAATACAATCTTGTCTTAATTACTCAGGATAGATTATATGATTCTCATATTTATTTTGTTTTTTCGTTCTTCTATTGGATTATTTTGAAATGGTAAAATGTGTAATATGGTCAGTTTAATTATTTCACACGCAAGCGCGCGCGTGTATATATATATATAATCTTAATTACCATGTATTTGTCAAATTTTAGAGTAAGTTTTCAATCTAGAAGAAAGAAATAAGATTGTAAGGAACTAGACACTATTTTTACATAAAGTGAAAGTGAAAGCGCAAAATAGCAAAATATAATATATAATTTAAGAGTCAATTTCGATCAATAACAAATGTAAAACATGATGAGACACCTATTAAAAAGAAAAGTGTGTTTTAATATTTTTTTTTCAATTATTTCAAATCTTGGGGTAAGCTTTCAATCTAGAAGAAAGAAATAAGATTGTAAGGACCTAGACACTATTTTCACGCCAAGTGAGAGTCAAAGACGAAATTGTTAAAGGGCACATTTGGTAGTACAATAACTTTTAGTTGTTCCATGTCCGCAAAAATCTTAGAGTAAGTTTTCAATCTAGAAGAAAAATAGTAAGATTGTAAGGAATTACACACTATTTACACATAAAGTGAAAGCGAAAGTGCAAAATAGTAAAATATAATTATATAATATAAGAGTCAATATGAAATTTAGATCAATAATACATGTAAAACATTACAGAGACACCTATTAAGGAGAATGGTGTGTCTTAGTATTTTTTTTCAATTATTCATATATATGTATATGTATATATTATCTTATTTACCATATATCTGTCAAATCTTAGGGTAAGCTTTCAATCTAGAAGAAAGAAATAAGACTGTAAGGACCAAGGCACTATTTTCACACAAAGTGAGGGTCAAGACGAAATTGTTAAAGGGCAGGTAGTACGATAACTTTTAGTTGTTCCATGCACACAAAAATCCAGAGAGAGAGAGAGAGAGAGAGTAACCGCGTTGAAGCGAGCGTGTGAAAGAAGTTTGGGCACGTGTGGTTCAAAGTGACGGACCGCGTTATGGCAAGCGTGTGAAAGAAAGGTTGTAGGGAGCGTGTGAAAGAAGTTTGGGCTCGTGCGAGCTGTGACCCATGCTGATAAAATTTCCGCGTCACCAACTCAGAGTCTCAGACATTGCTTTTGCCTCTTTCTCCACAAGCCAACACTGTTTATCAACACCGTCTATTGAATATAAAGTACAATTGACCACTCTAATCGTTTTAAATTACAAATTTGACCACGCAATCCTTTTTAATGATAGTTATATCGTGCTAAGGCTTGTAATATTTCTAAATCGTTTTAAGGTACAAACTAATCAAGGTTGTTCTATCGTCAGTTCAACGACTAGAATATTTTTGGTTCCTCCCTTCTTCAATGGAAAGGAGGAATCTCCATTTTGGTTCTCTATGGTTGATTATTTTGCGTCTAACATGCATGTTTATGAACAAATACAGATGGTTCTGTGAATAGGGACGAAATGAACCAACTCTTATCACTTGCATAATAATTCACTATGCTGTGATTACATCCATAACTAAATTCAAACAAAAATTAATGACGTAACGTGCTCATAGCTATTGAATGATAAATTGAAGATACTTGGAGAGAAAAATTAATGGGGAGATCCAAATCCGCAGGAATTCCTCCTCACCTGTTTTTTGGCGATTCATTATAATTTGATTTCTAAGATTTAACTGTTTTGTTAAATAAATAAAATAAAAGTGAGAAAAGGTACATAATTTTTCATATTGTTAAATAAATAAAATATAAGTGAGAAAAGGTACATAATTTTTCATATTCTATTTTCTGTGAATTTTGAATTTAAATGAGATTTAGAACTCAATATTTTTTCTTAATAAAATTAAATATTTCCTTCTAACTTTCTAATAAAAATATCATTGTCCTTGTGGAACCTGCTTGATGAGTAGATTGGTTATTATAATAACATGTTTCAGCAAGTATGTTGTTGAACACTATAATAACATGTTTTAAGTGTCCACGCCAATTTGCAGTTTGTTCATAATATTATATGGGTTTAGCTCCCAGAGTAGTCCAAAATATCATACACTAATCAAACAATTCTAGA